GGTAGGCTATTTTAAAAGTAAAAGGGTTTTGGGTTCGGAGAACCCATTGGAATGTTCTCCTATCTTGAAATTGACAAATGTTTCACCTGTCAGAGTAATCGTAAGATCGTGGAGATCTTTCTCTGTCTGAGTTGCAGTAAAGGTAAACACAGACACCTGGGTGATTGTCTCCCACAAACAGATTGAAAACCTACAGCATGTCTTCACTATTTTCCAATTCGTTGTGGACATGCGGAAGCATGAAGTGGTTAAGCTGGGCCTCCCTCGTCAGTCAAGCAGAAACTGCTCAAGATGACAGTCTTCGACAGCTGAAGGAAACCGTCAGTGGATGGCCTGACACGAAGAAGGAAGTCCTCACATGTTTCCATCCGTATTTCCTAGTTAGAGATAAGCTATCAGGACTAGATGATCTGATCTTCAAAGGTCAGCGCTGTGTCATTCCCTTGAGTCTGCGCCCAAGAATAAATGGGGAAATGTGTGGAACCCACACTGGAATTCAAAGTTGTCTGCGACAGAAAAAAGAGACCGTACGCGTGTGTAGGCCAGGACTGAATTCCGACCTAACTGACCACAATTCGAAGTGCGACATCCGTTCATTCTATCCATCAAAGCAAGGGAGCTTTTCGTTTGCGGACGGTCATGAGGTTGCTGAATCGACCTTGGCAAAAGATTGGCGCAGATGTTTTCACACTCGATGGTACAGATCACCTCTGTGTGGTTGACTACTGTTCAAGTTACTTCGCAGAGAATAAACTAGAAAGAAGGACCGCAAAGGTGATAGCCAAGATACTACGCAAGCAGTTTTCAGTGTAATGAATCCCAAACCAGCTAATCAGCGACAACTCGCATGCCATTTAATTTTCAAGAGTTCAAGGAATTGGCAGCACGCTTCGAGTTTGAAGTCATCACAAGATCACCTAGCTATGCCAAGAGCAATGGCAAGGCTGAAAATGCCATCACTGAAGAAAGGAATATCCATCATGAAGAATGCTAAGCAAGCAGGACAGACAATTACTTATCCCTGCTAGAAAAAAGGAAACTGAGGGAAGGTCTAGCTCCTGAAGGAGAGATCTAGCTCCGCCGCTTAATGGATATTCGGACGCGAAGCAAGAACTCTGTTTTCCACCATCAGTTACCTGTTAGAAGCAAAAGTCCAAGAAGATGTGATGGAGAAACCCCTAAAACAGAAGTAAAATCGACCTAATATTGAAATCAAAACACCAAGGAGATCCGTCTGCACCGACAGGAAACGTCGTCTGAGCAGGTGATCATGAATATAGGGAGCGGGAATGGTTGAAGGAACGAGTAGAATTAAGACTAAGTTGACGTTCGTACTTACGACGTCCGCAGAACAGAAGATGGTAGACTGCACAGAAGAAACGTGGAAACCATGGAACCATTTGAAACTAGTTCAGTTGAACCACATCATCTCTCAGGGTGCACTAAAAAGAACTCAGACAACAGGTCAACCCGTCCAAGCCAACTTTGTTGTTCGGCCCAAGCAAACAGAACCTGCAACAGTTTGTGTTATGCTTTTCACCGTAATAACTAACAGAAAAATAAATGCCTCTCGTGTTGTACTGAGCATGGAGCGCTAACTAAATATAACTAAATAATTAGTGTTACAGGGATAATAGTAGCCCAAGGTTATTTATGGCCAATATTACGACTAGCTAGGGTTATTCTGCAGTCCGCTGCAGTACGCAGTCTGCAGTCTGTGTCTAAAACAGACCGACTCTTTTATTAACTTCCAAACTGACAAATTACCGGCACCCCTTTCGGACACATCCTCCCCTCATACAACATGTCTGAGTGTCAGTTGCTTGGTTCATAACTTTATTCTTGTGTTCGGACTAAGCTTGAATTAAAACCAAAAAAGATGATATATTACTTTGGTTTTTATCTCGCACAGATGTGGTGCTGCGAGTTTTGTTTTACTATCAGTGCAGTACAGATTTCTTAAGCTGGAGTCACAGATGCTTCTGGCGGGATCAATGAGTAAAGAACACAAGTAGTGGTTTTCACCAGTTCTAATTTTAGACGAGATCAATAGAATATGCTGACAAATGATACAACGGACAGTACTTCGGTTCCGATCTTTGATATACAGGAAAACACGCCAGTTTAAGAGAACGTCA